TTTTATGATTGAAGCTTTAAATTGGAAGAGTTGACCAAGTTTGACTTTTGTGTATTTGATCCCGGATCGGAGTTTTGCTGGTTTTGTTAGGTCCGGATGGTAATTTTGGACTTGGGCGTATGCCCGGATTTGCATTTGGATGTTTCTTGCATTTTGTGTTATGTGTTTGCTGTTGAGGTGACGCACACGCTAGGTGACTGGCGTGTGGGTGTGCATCATGTGAATTGTAACTCTGCTATTTCTGTGGTGCTGTGTATTTACCTGAACTTATCTGTATTGATGAAAACTCTACGTACTAGAGTTATTGAGCTGTGATCCATGTTAGAAACCATATCTAGGCTACATGCTTATTCTGTTGGGACCCACTGAGGTCATTACTGTTGTTGAGTCATTTGCTTACATTGCAATTTCATACTCAGTCATGTTCATTCATTTCATATCAAATCTCAGCCTCTGTTGTTATTTATTGATACATCATATCATCATTTTGGGCTAGTTTCATGACATAGTGAGCCCGAGAGACTAGAGAGATTGATGACTGAATAAGGCCGAGGGCCTAATAGTGAGGTTATTGATACTATAACATATGAGTTGTCCGTGCAGCACGTGAGTTATCCGTGCAGATTCAGATATTGATACTATAGCACGTGAGTTGTCTATGCGGATCCAAATATTTATATTATAGCACGTGAGTTGTCCGTGCAGCACGTGAGTTGTCTGTGCATATTATAGCGCTTGGGCTGAAGGAGCCCCTCCGGAGTCTGTTCACACCCCAATGAGCGCAGGTACCTATTGAGTGCGAGTGCCGAGTGATTGGGAGGACTGAGTGGATTGATACTCTGAGAGTATGCATATGGTTGTTCACTATGTTGTACTGCATTGACATGCACACTTGACATACAATCATAGAGACGCATTTTTCCTCATGTTGTACGGTATCACAACATTCATGACTTCTCATACACATTGACATGTAGGCATAGAGATATAATTTTCCTCATGCCATTTGATAATGAAGCATTTACCTGTTGAAAAGTTTTGAAAGGAAAAATCATGATTTTTACAAACTTACTCATATTTGTTTTGGTGTTTTCGGTAAAAGATTTGGGTTTTCACTGTTACACTTGAAAGGCATGCCTATTTTCTGGAACTGTGAACGAGCTGGACATTTATTTCTGAGTTATTTCCTGTACCACTTTTATTATATTGTTATGAGCTGTTGTTGGCTATTGGTGTTGGACTTTGACCTGTGTTCCAGCTCGTCACTACTTTCAACCTAAGGTTAGGTTTGTTACTTATTGAGTACATGGGGTCAGTTGTACTCATACTACACTTCTGCACCTTGCGTGCAGATGTTGGATGCTGATGATGCTGTGATCGATGGGAGCTGGATTTGAAGATGTACCTGAGTTCCGGTTGTAGCTGCCTCTTGTTCATGGTAGCCTTAGATTTATAAAAATATATTTATGTACATTTCGAATAGAGGATGTAATTTTATTTCTTTTCATAATAAATCTCATTTGGATTGGTTAGTTGTTAATTGGCTTACCTGATGGGTTGAGTTAGGTGACATCACGACTAGGTGGATTTTGGGTCGTGACATTAGCATACTGCTTTATTGGACCTCTAGTAAGTGTCGGCATTGACCCCTCGTCACTACTTCTCCGGAGTTAGGCTAGATACTTACTGGGTACGCATTGATTTACTTACTCATGCTGCACTTCTGCACTAAATGTGCAGGATCTGACAGGTTCATTTGGTGATCATCCTGGCGCGTAGGCGCAACTGTTAAGGAAACTTTATGTGAGTTGCATTCCAGGTTACGCACCGAAGTCCACAGAGTCCCCATCGTACTATTCACCTTGCCATGTCTTATTTACATTTCAGACAAATGTTTTATTATTATTATTGTACTCCTTAGTAAATTCTCATGCACTTGTGACACCGGGTTTTTGGATATACTAGTTGCTGCTTACGGTTCTGTATATTATCATCACCTTTAATTTCTTTTATAAACTACTAATTTTGTACGTTTTCGTGGATTTAAAAGTGTAAATTTTCTTCCTTATTAAATTTTATGATTTCGAAAGTAATAAAATGAACAATTAATGAGATAGTTCACCGTTGGCTTATCTAACGGCGACGTTGGGTGCCATCACGACCTATAGCGGGTTTTGGGTCGCGACAAATTTTGTGGAAAAATCCATCATTATCTCATCTTGATCCACATGCCTCTATTTGTGAAAAAGAAGTGTAAAAAATTATTCATTTGTAGAAAATTGCAAATCAAATGCTAGACCTATTTACGGATCTGAAAAAGATAATAAAATCACATATCCTTGCAGAGAATGTTCCAATCCGTATTGATGTCCCCGTTGGACAATCTTCTAGTGTCATAGCTAACGAGTCAAAAGCACGCCTAAAGTGTGGCAGACCATTGGGTTCTAAGGATCGAAATTCTAGAAAAATAAATAAATGATGAAGATGACACTACGAAAGAATCTCATAAAGAAACCTATGATTTAAACAATCTTGAGATTCATGAGGAAATCACCGAGCCTGAGACTCAAGAAAATAAGGAACTATCAATAAACCCAATCGATATTTAGATGAATTTGAATCGATTGGATATAATGGAGGATTATGTCTTTGCATATAGTGTTACATCTAGCATTATGCAAGATAATAAGGATCTTGAACCTCAATCTCTTGGAGAATGTCGATAAAGATGTGATTGTCCAAAATGGTAAGAAGCAATCCAATCTGCATTGGATTCATTTGCGAAACGTGAAGTTTTTGGGCTTGTAGTCCATATACCTCATGGTGTTAAGCCTAGTGGCTATAAATGGGTCTTTTTACGTAAGAGAAATGAGAAAAATGAGGTACAAAGATATAAGGCACGCTTTGTTGCACAAGAATTTTCACAAAGGCCTGGTGTCGATTATGAAGAGACATATTCACTTGTTATGAATGCAATAACATTTCGTTATCTCATTAGTTTTGCTGTCCACGAAAAGCTTGACATGCATTTAATGGATGTGGTTACCGCCTACCTTTATGGCTCACTTGATAATGAGATATACATAAAAAATTTCGAGGGATTTAAAATGCCTGACGCACATAATTCAAAGTCCCGGAAAATATTTTTAATAAAATTGCAAAGATCTTTGTATGGTCTAAAGCAATCAGGACGAATGTGGTATAACCGCCTTAGTGAGTATTTATTAAAGGAAGGTTATATAAATGATGCCATTTGTCCATGTGTGATTATAAAGAAAACAACGTCGAAATTTGTTGTACTTGCCATATATTTTGATGACATAAATCTTATTGGAACTCCTATAGAACTCCAAAAGGTAATTAATTATTTAAAGGAGGAATTCGAGATGAACGATCTCGGAAAGACAAAATAATGTCTCGGTTTGCAAATTCAACATTTGGCAAATGAGATTTTTGTTCATCAATCTGCTTGCAGAGAAAAGGTATTGAAACAGTTTTACATGGATGGAGCACATCCATTAAGTACTCCGATGGTTGTTCAATCATTTGATGTGAATAAGGACCCGTTCCGACCTCAAGAAAAGAATGAAGAGCTTCTTGGTCCTGAAGTATCATATCTTAGTGCAATTGGTTCACTAATATATCTTGCTAACACTACAAGGTCTGACATAACTTTTTCAGCTAATGTCTTAGAAAGATATAGCTCTGCTCCTACAAGGAGACATTGGAATGGAATCAAACACATATTGCGGTATCTAAAAGGGACTACCTATACGGGCTTATTTTATGAAAATAATTGCAGTCCTAATCTTGTTGGTTATGCTGATGTTGGGTATTTATCTGACCCACATATGGCTCGATCTCAAACATGCTATGTGTTTACATGTGGAGACACTGCCATATCTTGGCGATCGACTAAGCAATCAATCGTGGCTACTTCATCTGATCATGCGATAATTGCTATTCATGAAGAAAGTCAAGAATGTGTATGGTTGAGGTCTATAATACATCTTATTCGAGACAAATGTGGTTTGAAGTGTGACAAACTACCTACGATTTTGTATGAAAACAATGCAGTATGCATAGTCCAATTGAAAGGAGAATTCATAAAAAGGAGATAGGACAAAACACATTTCACCAAAGTTATTTTTCACACATGATCTTTAAAAGAATGGTGATATCAATGTATAACAGATTCGTTCAAGTGATAATATGGCTGATTTGTTTACCAAATCTCTACCGACGTCAACCTTCAAGAAGCTAGCGTACAAGATTGAGATGTGAAGGCTCAAAGATATCAATTGATGCTCCCATCAGGGAGAGTGAATACGCGTTGTACTCTTTTCTCCTTACATGGTTTTGCCCCATTGAGTTTTCCTTGCAAGGTTTTTAACGAGGCAACCAAAAGGTGTATTTCTAAATATGTGTACTCTTTTTACTTCTCTAGATTTTTTTCTCACTGAGTTTTATTTTAGTTAAGGTTTTAATGAGGCACATTATCTATTGAATAGACATTCAAGGGGAAGTGTTATAAATAGAATTTTATTTAAGGTTTATGTCTATATTTTAGAGAAATTCAAGGGTTTGTTGCTTTGTAGCTAAGTCACCTTTTCCCTATAAATAAATGGGTTCTATTCCATTATAATTCATCCCAAATCAATAAGAATTCTCTCTCCCTTCTTTTGCAATATTCTTCTTTATTATTTCATTACAAAAAGAAAATTATATCTAAAATTATAGTAGTACATCTTATTGGTTAGGTAGTTTTCATTTTTTTTGTTTAGCATCAAAATAATCCAAATATTATCCATTTTTTCCACTCTGTCTTTTACTAATATTTAGGTGCAGTAGGATCAACTGAATCTCAACTTATTCTGCAGTAGTATCAAATTTATTTGTCGAAAAAGAGATCATAAACCAAATTTAAAATTTTAAAAATAGAAGCAAAAAATAAATAAAATAGGCGCTACAGTGTTGAAGAAAAGGAACGGAAAAAACTAAAGGGAACGGAATCGTATATTAATCGTACCGGAGTTTCTCTTTTCTCCATAGTCCATTCCTCCGATTCCTTCTCATCGAATCTAATTCGCATAGCTTTATTATCCAATCCCCACCAAATAAATGTGGCATAGATCAGCTTCGTTCATTCTTGACGAACGAGAAAACGACGACGTTCTCAGTTCAGAGAGCCGCCGCATGTCTTCATTGTTAATGGCCGCCGAAACCCTTCAACAACCTAACCCTAATAATCCCAAAATTTCCGCATACTATCAGACTAGAGCCGCTCACCATGGAGTTGTCACCAGTGACTGGCTTGCTCAGGCTCAAGCCGCCGTCGGCCACAGCCCTGACGACGCTGTCCCCAAAAACTCATTGTCAAAAACTGTGGATTCTGGGAAGACGTTCAGTGTCATTGATGAGTTCAATAATTGGCGTAAACAGCCTGATTTGGCGGAAGCTGTGGCTGCTATTAGGGCTTTAGCTTCTGTTATTCGGTCAAGTGAAGCTACTACGATGATGGAGCTTGAGATTGAGCTCAAAAAGGCTTCTGATTCTCTCAAGGTTCATTTTTTGTTTTGTTTTCATCTACACTTCGATTGATTTTTGTAATTTCCTTTGGTCTTGCAGTGAATTGAATGTTATACTTTGTATTAGAACACTGGACAATATTTAGGCATCGAGGCGCGTAGAACACTTTCTTTAAGATATTAATTTCCCTGAACGGTTGTTGTTGGGGGATCAGCAATAAACCTTACAGGATACAACAATGCCTCCAAAACCTCCCGGCAGCAATTCCTGAAGATTTTCTTTCGGAACTTCTTTTAAGAACGTATAGGTTCGCGAGTAAAATTCTGAATGAATGGGAGAAAAATATTAGATAACCTTCAAAATTGATTTATAATTCTAAATAGAGAGGAAGTTAATACTGTTTGCTTTGCTCATGTTCTGACAGTTATTTGTGTCTTTTCTGAAAATGGCACTTGTTTGAACAAGCCATGACTGCTCCTGTCTTTTGATTTAACCTATCCCAGATGATGAGCTAGAGACGGTTATGTGTGGTTTTTCTGGTTCGAGCCTGGAATGAAGGTTTAAAAAACCAACTGACTATCACTTTGTTGGAACTTTGACAAGCTTATGCTGATAAAAGGTTCAAGGTTTAAACCTAACGATATCTTTCTTTATGCGTACAACCATGTCGTTCCCTTTTGTATTTCTAAAATTTGAAATTGTACTATCTTCCGCTTCGGTTTTCTAGTACCCTGTCGTGTTACTGCTTGTTGCTATTACTACTGCTTTCTTCCATTTGTTTTTCTCCGGTTCTTACATCGCTGGTATCATTTTCCTGGCCTTGTTGTTGTTATTTACTTGTTCCTATTCTTACTCTCGAGTCGAGGGTCTTTCGAAAACAACCTCTTTGCCCTCCAGGGTAGGGGTAAGGTTTGCGTACACATTACCCTCCCCAGACCCCACTTGTGGGATTCCACTATGTTGTTGTTGTTGTTATTGTTTTTGTTGAAACTACACATTTAATATTAGTCTCATGCCTTTTCGAAGTAGTTAGGTTCTTTCACGAAAGATATCAGAATGATGTGACTTTTCATGAAAGAACGCGTCTGTCGAAAAGTAACCGTTCATAAAGATAAGACTGGTGATGCATGAGTCTTTGTTGGTCTATAAATAAGAGGACAACTGAATTTTCAATGTTATAATGAAAAGTTTGCAGTAAATTATTTCCAGATATACAAAGTGAATTCAAACATAGAATAAGAGTTTTATGGAATTCTTCAGTGTTGCTAGTTACAGAATTCACAAGGCTTTATTGTATCTTGCGAGAATACTTGTCATTAAAGCGATAGTAAAATAGGGGTGGCAGTAAATCAAACTTACAAATCTGCATACTTTTTTGATTCATTTTCTTCTTTCCCAAAGACAACACATTATTGTTTTTAATGGAACTCTTTCATTGGTTTAATCATGTGGTTGGTGGTGCCACGTTTGTGCTGGAAAACCAAACCAGAAGATGAAAACCAGAGAGGATCAGGTTTTAGAAGAGAGGGCCATAATTTGAAATTGATGGGTGAAAGGTGTGGTATTGTCCGTTTGATACTTTGATTATATATAAGAGTGAATTTGTCTTCTAATTTCAATTCAGAAAGAAAGGTTGTTTGGAAACTAGATACCAACCAGTTATGCAACCATTTACACTCTTTCATTGCTTATGTGCTATGGCAGTCTTGGGACACGACTTCCATATCTTTGACAGCTGGTTGTGATTTGTTCATGCGATACGTAACAAGAACTTCAGCATTGGAATATGAGGACTTCAATTCAGCTAAGTCTCGCCTTCTCGAACGTGCAGAGAAGTTTGGAGAGATATCCTATAAGGTATACCTAAAAATGACAGTTTCACTTGTCCATGAAAGACTAGAAAGTATTAATGCATTGCTCATCACACTAATATAGATGTTCTCTGAACTTTGCATTGCAGGCAAGGAAAATTATTGCTATGCTCGGTCAGGATTTTATTTTTGATGGTTGCACCATCTTGGTACATGGTTTCTCACGAGTGGTTCTGGAGCTGCTGAAAACAGCAGCTCAGAACAGAAAGGTCTTTCGGGTTCTCTGCACTGGTGTGTACAGAAAAAGTTCCATTGCCGTTGATGGCAAATTGATTGTTTCTCTCTCTCTCTCTCCCCTTCACATCTTCTTTTGAGGTTTATTGTATCGTGTATGGCTTCTAAGAATGGAAAGAAACTAGAAAGAAGTTGACTCTCTTTGCCAGATAAAAAGTCAGTTAGGTTGATTGATTGAATTAAATTAAGAAAATGGGAAAGTAACTATGTTTTGCTCATTTATATCTTTCTGGCTATTTTAGAGGTTTCACATGGGTGGTAGAGGTCAAGCTTTTCTGTTATCTTGTGTCACAAATTTAATTTCTCTTTCTCCAAGTTCCACACTAGTATAGTCTGGTCAAACATTATTGCTTTCTTTTTAAACCTTACCATTTTGGTTGTTTTACTTATTGGCTGAGGATTGAATTAGCTTTAGATATGCTGACATTCATGCCCATTAGAGGAGACCCGATTCCATCTTGTGATTATTGGTATTTATTATTTTAAATGCAGAAGGAAGGCCTGATAGGAGTGGATTACGATTTTCCAATGAGCTAGCCAAGCTTGACGTTCCTGTGAAGCTCTTAATAGACTCTGCTGTAGCATATAGCATGGATGAAGTTGATATGATTTTTGTCGGGGCAGATGGTGTGGTTGAAAGTGGCGGTATTATCAACATGATGGGGACCTACCAGATTGCTTTGGTAGCCAAGAGCATGAATAAACCAGTCTATGTGGCAGCTGAAAGCTATAAGGTTGGTAGATACCAAATTTCTTCATCACATTGATGGTGATTGATTGAACTCCCTTACTGTATACATGATTTGAAAAAATGCTCCCACCTTCTTGATGTTGCTTTTTGTATAAACTGCTCCAAAGAGGATGTTTAGTGAGTGCAGTCCACCACATGATTGATTTGCCTGATAATTTCAAATTTCTTTGTACAGTTTGCTCGTCTCTATCCATTGGATCAAAAAGATATGGTGCCAGCTTTACGTCCAATTGATTTTGGGGTACCAATTCCATCCAAGGTGGAAGTTGAAACTTCTGCTCGTGATTATACACCACCTCAGTATCTTACACTACTATTTACAGATTTAGGTGTTCTGACTCCATCTGTTGTAAGTGATGAGCTCATACAGTTGTATTTATAGTGCGAATGAAGTCTAATTATTCGCTAGGTGTACCAAGCATTACATGTATGGATTTCTTTCTCCCAATTTTACCTACAACCTTACATTGTTGTGAAATTTTGCAGTATTATCTCTTTAATGTTTTATATGGTATGCACTCCTTGGGTTTCTCCATGTGGCCTATGGGGATATTTCTTTGCCTTGTTGGCATACAATGAACAACATTTATATGTTAATATTAATGGAAGAAGATACACTGAGGCATCCTTTCTTGGGGTGGGAAATTTGTGCATGTATCATTTTTTGAATAGCGAGTCCTCGGAAGCAAGAATTTTAGCCTGGCGTTTGACATTGGTATTACTCATGATCTTTCAGAGCCAGTACACGGGTCCCTAATTATGACTTATTAGCAGAGGAATGGAGCGCTAAGAGTATTTTGGTCACCAATGAAGCGTTACTGCTGTGGGTATGATCTTTTGTAAGGGTCAAGGTTGATTAATTGAATGTCTACTATTATCTTACAAGCTATATGAGACCCTGAATTTGGATGGTCAAAAGTTGGGGCAACTTGACTTGCATACAGATTAGAGTAAATCAAATTGATGACAAAATAAGCAGGCAGGTTCTGTGAAATGGTCTGATGGATCATTGATCATTCCCCTTCGCAACAAACATATAGAGGAGAGAAGATAGTAGAGAGGAATGTAATTTCAAGTCAATTAATGTTAGGAACAAACAGAGGGAAACCATAGAACTTCAGTTCCATTACCAAAAGTTGGGTAACCTTCCTAGTTCTTGCACTCTCTATTAAGTCAAGAAAGACACCACAATGAATTGGTAATGCTTTTTGTAAACCTGACATTACGAGTATCCTTTAGATTGAAATATCAAGTTATATTGCTCAACGTCAAGAATCCGAAATAGATTTAGGACAAAAATGAGATCAAGTTACATTGTTGTGCTAATGTAAAGTATGAGGAAATGGGTCTTCATGGCTTTTCACAATGTTGAAATTAAATGGGTGTTTGAACATAAGAATTTTAAAATTCCAAAAAAAAGTGAAAATGGTATTTGAAAATGAAAGTTGTGTTTGGACATGAATATAATTTTGGGTTATTTTTTATTTTTGTGAGTGATTTGAGTGAATTTTGAAAAACAGTTTTTTGGAGTTTTTCACATTTTCGAAAAATTCCAAAATTCATCTTCAAGTAAAAATTGGAAATTTTATGGCCAAACACTGATTTCAAAAAAAAGTGAAAAAATTCGCATGTCCAAACATGCTCTTATAGAAAGTATCTTTTTTAGATCTAAGAAAAGTATATGGAAGTACACATATATGATATAACTGCTGCGTCCCATTTTAGGAGAATTATGCTGATGAGTGATGAATGCATGGCATAATGTGGTCAAACTTTCTTATATGGCCATATTATTTTTGTGATCCCTTGCTACCTCATGTTTAGCTTAATGGATTTGTGCCCTTTCTGAACTAAAATTTTACTTATCCCACACAGAAAGAAATTTTAAAAAGGTTTTGTTGAATGGAGATGCGGGGGATCGAACCCCGTGCCTCTCGCATGCAAAGCGAGCGCTCTACCATTTGAGCTACATCCCCGTTTGCTAAACTACAACATCATGAGCAATTATGTACTCCCTCAGTTTCAATTTATACGAACCCATTTGTCTGGGAACGAAGTTTAAGAAAATATAGAAAACTTTTGAATTTGTGGTGTAAAATGAGTCATATATATTTTGTGTGGCTATAAATCATTGTATAAAGGTAAATTATTTCCAAATAAGAAAAGTGATCATTCTTTTTTGCACAGATTAAAAAGGAAATAGGTTCACATAAATGGAAACGGAGGGAGTATATATTTTCCTAAGACGTGAAATCTTATGCTAGACACTAGAGTATTGAGCTGGGTAGCATGATTAATTTAGCTTTACAAGCTCACTAAACTATATGTTAAAAACTGAAACCAACAAAAATAACACAATTTACTTCTACCAAATTAATACAAATTATTATAGCAATAATAACTACGCCTCAAGTCCTAGTATGTTGGGTCGGCTTGTTTAAGTTAAAATTAAGTGTTCAACACATTCAATATATCTTTAAGAATAAGGTTATTACAATTTTTTTTAGTTATATGATTGTTTTAACTATTTCGGAAATATGATCATTTAAAGTGTTATTGTACTTTCTTAATTGTTCGAGTTTCTTTCTACATATTTCCAATTTAGGGTTATAAATTAATGTTCCGAAAACAAGAGTACTTTTTTTTAAATCTCCAAAATATGCAATGTGGAACTAATAGTCGTGCAAATTGGGTATTTAAAATTTGTGAAATTTTGTTCCCTTACAATCTACATAAAGGATAATAGGTTCTAGAAATCAAATTGGAGAATGAGAAGGTTCAACTTTAATTAATAATTAGAAAATCTCAACTTAGTTACTCTTTTCTGTATGTACTAGACACGCCTTCAATGCCTCAAATTGTCCACCTCTAAATTCTCATTCTCAATTAGTACTCAACTTGGTTTAGTCATTACTCATTCATGTTCCCCCTAAATGTTTTTATTCCTGGACTTTGTGCTACTTAAACAGCTTTTACCAAACCACATAGTTACATATGATACTACATTCAAATAAGAAAATACAACTACTGAGTTCTACGGTGGTAATCTCAACAGTTACAATGATCATTTTACAGTAAAAAAAAAAAAAAGTTAAATATGCTCATTGGATAATATTTTTTAAAGTACTCAATTTAGATGAGATGAAATAGATGATCAAAAATTGAATTTATGTGACACAATAGTGTGAGAGCTATAACTAAAGAGTTTAACTTAATTGTGTGCATTAACATTGTATAAATTTTTTTCCACTAGTAGATTAGGTTGACTTAGAACAATAGAAAAGCATTTATAATACGCTTAACTTGTTGGTATTGATAATAAGGTAATTAACCTACTATAAAAATTAAACTTTGTGCAAAATATATTTAATCTATGAGTGCGTAAATCTATATGACATGTTACATGAGTAAAGCTGCTTCGTTCCTCAATTATTGATAGTGATGTTCGATCGTCGTTGATGGAAAATGATATTTACAAGTTGCAAACCAGTCAAACGAAAAATCAATGACTCTTTACAGTAAACAAACGCATCTTGGTCGAATTATTATAAGTATGAGATAATAAATGAGTGCTGTCCGAGTGGGATCCATCATATGCTAGTTGAATGTTAAATTACATAATAATATCCATCTAAATACATAAAAAGCTGGGAATTTATTTCTTCGCCAATAGAATAAATATTGGGTCCACAAAGAAGAAAGTTGATTTAGGAAACGAGCAAGTTGAGTAGAAGCACAGTTCTTTTATTGGCATAAGTTGAACAAGTTGCTGATTAAGGGCATGGCGTGGGACGGAATCAAAGTTCATTCAACTTTTTGACAAGCTGATTTGGATGGTTTTTAGGGAACTACCACCTTTTTTACTTTCAACTCTCATCTTTTAACTAATCAATACCCAAGTTGATTTGAGTGGCCACTTGTTGGCCCTCTTATATTGTCGTTTCCTTAGTATGTAAATATAGAAAAGGAAAGAAGAGGAGAAACTTTTAAGGAGACTTACACCAATACATCAGTGTGTGTACGTTGAAATCCACGTTTAGAGTTTGTAAGTGTGGCAAACAGTCGGGTCGAAACAGATATGTAGGGTTTAGAAACAATGCAAAAAACGTACGGATAACCAACGTATGATAACCATATTGGTCTACTCTCTAATATTTGTTAGTGAATAATATATATTCCATCATCAACATTACATGATATAAAGAGGGTGAAAGAGAGTTGAACATACATTCTCAAGTTTAAGCAAGAAGAGGCAACTTTATTGCACATGTTATAAAATAAAAGCAACTTAGTAAAACATGAACAAGACATGTTGTTATAAAATAAAAGCA